ACACTTTCTTTTTCCACCTGCACATCCTTCAATGCACAGAATTTCAGGGAAGAGTTCTCCCCAAAACCCTAGCTTTTTACCCATCCATTTTAGCCTTCCACCCAACTTCCACAAAGGATTTGGCTCTACCTTGGATCTGCTAGTAAATAACTAACAGTCAGATACTTATTTGGGTAAGGACAAAAGGGGAGGGAGAGACAGAAAGAACATTTGGCCATCTGCTGCTTGTCCACCTTGACTCTCCACCTGGGATTTGCGATTGAATCTCTACGCCCTCCCACTATGCAGTGCTGATCGCTCATAGCAAGACTCAGCGCCCCCAGTGGTGTGCGGAAGCCAGGGAGGTGATTACAATCCAATTACCTATTGTCGACTCAGCCCACACAAGCTTTTCTCCTCCTCTTGCAGGGCATGGGGCCAGGCTCCACTCCCCTCCATGGTACAGGGTAACAGAAGGGCCTGTAGGCCCTGGTGAATCAAATCCAGCACAGGCCTTCTCCCCTGTAACACAACAGGGCTGAGCAGAACCAAGCACTTCTAGCTGACTCTGCTCCCCACCCTCACCATCTCAAAACTGATTCCCACTTCAGTCTTCGAGGTTTCTCTCAGCTTTTTGACCTGGCTCCCTAAGTAGGCCCTGAGATGATTTATTCTTAGCATGGCAAAGCTTGTTCTAGGTCCTCTCTGTTTGTGAGGGTCAAAGCTGTGTCCTTTCCCTTACCTCCCTCTGCCAGGCCTTGCTGCAGAGCCGCTGAGAGAATTAGTGCCTTTGAAAAGCTGTCTGCCCTAGCAACTCTGTTTCAGGTGCCCCAGACTGACAAGTACCAGCCAGCAACACCAACCAAATGCTACTCTCTTTAGTAAAGTGCATTTGCATTTTTCTTTTCTTTCTTTCTTTTTTTTTTTGAGATGGAGTCTCGCCCTTTCCTGGCTGGTCTCGAACTCCTGACCTCAGGTGATCTGCCTGCCTCAGCCTCCCAAAGTGCTGGGATTACAGGCATAAGCCACCATGCCAGGCTTCCCATTTTACTTTCTGCAAGTTGTTTCCTTAGCAGCTCCCACTAGGGGAGAGGTGGAATCTTGCAAGCAGTAATAGGAGCACACAGGAAACCCCTGACTTTCCTATACCCCAGCTCCCTCTTCCCCTTTCTGTGCTCAGATACCTGGCGGCACGAGACCGCTTGGCTATTGTCCATGCTCCCAGAATCAAGCATAAATGCCAAATACTACGATTGAGAAGCCAATCAATGCACCCTTTGGCAAACCCCGATTCACACCCGGCACTCCCCACTACCTATCCCTGGCATAGGGTTCCTGGAGAGGAGGTGCTGTACATTTTCCAGCTTTACAATGGGGCTGTTGAGAGCCATAATTAGAGAGGCATGAATTATGTGGCTATAATGCAGAGTCCTATAATTAAGGTGGGAATGAGGGGCTGGAGGCAGCCAACAGCATCTGCCTTATGAGCATGGCTGTTGAGTCCTGTCTCCTGGGTCTGACTTTCAGTCATATGATTGAGGTACAGTAGAGGTGATTAATGGGCTTGCCTGAGGTTCTGTACTCTGGGAAAGGTACACAGGGTGGAATAGGGAGAAGCTGCCCCACGAGGTGATGTAGGGGTGGAAAGAAGAGGCAGGGAGGTTGTCATTGCACAGGAGCAAGGGCTGCAAAATAGTTGAACTTGTTGCTTTGGACAGGTATGGTTTGTATAACCCAGGTTCAACCCTTTCCTTTACTTTGGGTAAGGGAAAAAGGGGCGGGAGAGACAGAAAGGAAATTTGGCCATCCGCTGTTTGTTCCCCTTGACCCTCCACCTGGGATTTGCTATTGAAACCAGATGGGACCAATTTAAGTGTCCTTACTCCTGTGAGCCAAGCCCCCATTTGAGGACATCTATCGTATTCTTGTGTTCTGGGTCTCAAATAGAATTTTTAGAGCTAAAAAATAAAAAAAAAAAGAAATTCTGAATCCTGATCTAAGAAACTGTTAACCAATATGTATAGGGCAGTAATCTAAGCTCAAATGCTTTTATAGGCTAAATATGCAGTGCAAATATGGATTATGTATAAGAATATACATTACAACTCATACTTAGTGTTATTGCTCTGGCATTAATAGGGCTCATGAGAATCCTGGAGAGGACATGTAGTTCCAGCAAACTTCTTATTTGTGAATGCAGCCAAATCTAATTTTTAGAAAAAAAATTTGACAGTTAATATTTTTTCTAATTTTTTAAACACAATAACAGTGAATGTACATGTGGATGATAATGTGAACGAACACTAACTTGATCAAAATCATTCCCCTATTCTCCTAAACATATCAGTGAAGTCAGATGACTACACACACACACACACACCACACACACACACACACATCTGCTTATGAGAACTAATGGTGCCCACATATTTCCAACTCCACCTTTAGTGACATTACATTGGTAGCTTTAGATTAACCATTGTAAAAGTATTTACACCATGGAAATAAGCAAATGATACAACTCTTGTTTTTTCAATACTTCTTCTGTATTTTCTAAAGACGTGATTTATCAATACAACAGTGCTATAGAGTGGGTTTGGATTAGGGAGTATCAATTTTTGGCACCTGCTATAAAATATGAGATCAACATGTTCCCAATTTGTCAGGGATGATGTGTTAGTAAGAAACATTTGGATTACAAGTAACAAAATCTACCTCATATTATTATAAATAAAACAAGAAATTCATCAAGAGAACACTGATATAGCTCATAGAATTGAGGGAATTTAGGTAGCAGGTTATGTTGGGAGAGTGAAGTGGGGCATGACCTAAATCTGCTCTAGGATCACATTATTCCTACATTAATGGTCTGAGAGAGTAAAGAAAACCTTTTCCTCAGTTTTGTATTATATAAAACATAAGCTAAGAATCTGGTTAGCCCATGTTCAGTTCCATCATAGCCCTTTAGATTAACCAACGAAACAGGAAAATGAAACTTTGTGATCAGGTAGATATCGATCCATGGTCAGAAAGATCTGGATTACATGGAAACTAAGCAATGGACTATTAGTTGCAATCCTATTAGAATATGGTTGGAGTGATCGAAGGTCATTTTCATAATTAAAAAAAGAACTGTTTCTTCTACAAAAAATATTTGGAAGAGGAAAGTCCATGATAAACAGGAAGAACACGACAAAGCAAAAATATTTTACAAATAGGCATTCTTTTCAGGATTAAGAAAGTGGTATAAGTAATCCAATCATGCCTATCATATTTTTTACTACTCATGGTATATAGGTTAGAGCATGGAGGAAGAAAACCAGAGAAAGATTTTATTGTGCTGTATACCTGTTACACATAAAAATATTTTTGCTTTGTATTACTCAGGGCTCTCCAGAGAAATAGAACTGTAAGAATGTGTGTGTGTGTGTTTGTGTCTGTGTGTGTATGTGTGTGTGTGAGTGTGGGCAGACAGAAACAAAAGACCTATTTCCCAGCTCAAAGAGCAAGGCAGGAGGAGTTCTCCTTTACTAGTGAAGAGTCAGTCTTTTAATTCTACTCATGACTTCAACTGATTAGATGAGGGCCACTCATAGTAGGATTGGCAACCTGTTTTCCTCAATCTACCAGTTCAAAGGTTCTTATTCAAAAATATACTCAAAGACACCTAGAATAATGTTTAAGCAAATATCAGGGTACCCCACGAGTAGTCAAATTAACACATAAAATTAGCCATCACAATCCTTTCACTAACCATATCCCCCCGCCCCATTTGTTTTGGCCAAATGCAATGTCTATATATCTACTAAGGAAAGATTCCTTAAGTTCTGACTACAATAAACATGTGTTTTTAAGAATTGGAGTTCTGTTGCTTAAAATTAAAAAGTTTACATAAAACATATATACTGAAGTTTAACTCTTTGGTTTGGAGAATCACCTTGGCTCACTAGCAAAACTAACAATGGAGTTTATTGCAAAAAAAATACACTAGGCAACATAATTTCACCAAGTGCTATTAAATTAAAAAACCTGAAATACAAAGCAAAATATATCTCAATTGAAAGGATATCCTCTGTGAAAAATACATAATAAATATGAAAGTTTATAAATATCAACAAAAAAGATTGCTATTTTGATTCATCTGTCTTCTGATCAGTACATCCCAGATCATTTAGTAAATGAGGACTAGAAACATAAAGTAAAAAATAAATGAAAGCACCTGAAGTTAGCAGGGCCAATATTCAAGTAATTATTTCTTCTCCCATTTTAAAATAAAACAGGATTGATTTATTTATTTGCAGGATTATTTATTTGCGGGGCTGATTAAAAAAAAAGAAAAATATAAATATAAAATGGGATTATTTATTTGAGAGGCTGATTTTTAAAAAAAGGAAAATAAAATAAATTTAACGAGAGGTCAATTATATAAGTAAATATAATATGTATACACATTTTCACCATAAAATACATTATAAATACCGAACCAAATATATTGCTAAATCTATGTGTTGCATTTTGCTTGTGTGCACATAAGAAATGTGAAATAAAGGGTTGAACAATCCAAAGTTTATTCAGGCTGTGTAGATGAACAATGTTTAAGAGTAAGGCACTCACATGTTA